TGCACAAAAGTCAATTCCAAATGGCTCAAAGACCTCAATGTAAAGCCTGAAGCTCTAAAACTGTTAGAAGCAAACATTGGGAAAAACCTACAAGATATAGATGTAGGAAAGGATTTTCTAAACCAGACATCAATTGCTCAGGAAACAAGGGCAAGAATTAACAAATGGGACCTCATTAAACTAAAAAGCTTCTGTACATCAAAGGTGGCAACCAGGGAAGCGAACAGAAAACTCACAAAATGGGAGAAAATCTTCACCAGCAACACATCCAACAGAGGTTTAATATCCAGAATATATAATGAACTCAAAAAACAGAGACTCAAGACAAGAAGTTAACCCAATTAAAAGATGGGTTAGGGAGCTGAACAGAGAGTTTTCAAAAGAAGAAGTAAAGATGGCTATGAAACATTTTAAAAGATATTCAACATCACTAATAATTAGGGAAATGCAAATTAAAACCACTTTAAGATTTCTTCTTACCCCAGTCAGACTGGTTAAGATCAAGAGTGTTGGGCCTTCGGGACCCTCATACACATGGCATGGAGAAAAATGAGGCCTAATATAATTTCCTAAGCCAGGCTAAAGTTTAGCGACCTGTCTCTGGCCTGTCACTTCCGTGTGGAGGTGACTCAGCAGTGCCCTATCCAAGACTGCCTCTGCCCAGTAATAACTGGCGTAATAAATTCCCAGTGGCCCACAGTCTTCGCTCCAGCTGACATATTCCTATACCCACCCCCTTTTCCACACCCCTTTTGCTTAAACTATATAAGTTGATGCCTGACGCAATAAAGTGAGTTCCTGCCTCTACACGACTTCCGACTCGGTGTGGTTTTTGAGTCACCGACACCCACTATCCCGCTCAGCCCCCAAGAGAGGGACCCAGGCTGGTCCTGGCCTCTCTCCCTGTGCCGTACCTGTCGGAGCGATCTGACACAAGAGAACAAATGATACCAAATGTTGGAGAGGATGTGGGGAAAGGGGAACACTCATCCACTGCTGGTGGGGCTGCAAACTTGTTCAACCCCTATGGAAAGCAGTGTGGAGAACTCTTAAAAAACTACAAATGAACCTACCATTTGACCCAGTTTTACCACTCCTTGGCATATACCCAAAGAACTCACCCTATTGCAGAGACACTTGTACATCCATATTGGTTGCTGCTCTTTTCACCATAGCTAAGAGATGGAAGCAACCTAAGTGTCCCTCAATTGATGAGTGGTTAATGAAAATGTGGTTCATATATGCTGGGGGAATTACTGCTGTTTAAAGTATCTATCAGCCAGGTACCCGGAGTCAGTTCCAGGCCCTGGCTGGTAGCTACAGCATTAAAATAATTGGCTAATAGTTACAGCTGTCTGTTCAGTGTTTTTGCACTGAGAGCTGTGACCCCGTCTTGAACCAATTTATGTACACCCAGGGGGGGTCCTGTATTTACCCTAGATCTATGTAGGAACTGGACCCAAAAGGGAAGGAAAGGGGAGAAATGAGTGCACCTTACTTGGGGAAACCAGCATGGAAGGTAAGACAATGCGAGAGATAAATAACGCCTAGCTAATTTTGAAAAGCAGAGGGAACCATGTTACTCCTACAACCTACTGACAAATTATACATAGCAGATCAAGAAATATATGTCTAGGTAAAGTTTATCTGAGAACAAATGGTCTTTGCCCAAGATTTATCTACATGACACAGTAATTAAAAGTACCAGACTGGTGGAACTAACCTTCTTGGATGTTTAACAGACATACTTTGAGGCCTATAATAATTTGGTCAGAGGGACATAAAGGACACTTTTTGCTCCTTGCCCTCCTAGGTCGACTAGTTCCAGGGGACTATGAGCATCTCTCAAAATGTCCTGTAATTGTAGGTCACTTGTCCTCTTGATCAAGGAAGCCGAGGAGACCCCAAGAGATGGACTTGAACCAGTATCCAGTCTACAAAGAGGAGGGTCAACACAGAAGAATCATTTCCTCCATGCTTCTAAGCGATGCTAACCATGGTCAAGCAGGACCTTTGACTTATCTTCACACAGGCGGAACTGGTAAAAGAAAGGAACCAGGGGCTCCTCCCAAGCCCATGTGACCCCTGAGGAATAGGTCCTCACACAACCTTACGAGTAAAAATAAATTGGTTTATCTGGGCCAACTGTATGGCCTTAAACACCCAAAAGGAAAGTATAACCAAAGATTAATGGGGTCAATA